TGCTTCTCTTCCTCCAAAGGGGACACACTTAATACCCGGTTCTGTGAGGTGAGCCCTGTCCCGGGAGCTGCGCTGGGTCAGGCCACTCCTTCCTTTGGGGCTCAGGGCAGGAGGTGCTCTCTTAGGGGCAGTGGACGTGTGTGCGTCCCCACCTGTGGGCCCCCCGCTTTGGTTTGTGGGGGAGCTGTGAATGGGGCTGGAGTCCTGACCCAGGGTGTGCTTCCTCCCCAGAAAGGAACCAGTGGGGCTGTGCTGCTGACCAGCTCCTCACCCTTACACCTGCTGTCTTCATCCTACAAGGCCGGCAGCTCAAAGCTGCCCGGGGCCATGAACGCCAGCTCCCTGGGGATCATCTCCCCGTTTCCTCTCCACGTGCTCTCCTTTAGCGCCGACTCCTCCACCAAAGCAGGGGTCTCCAAGGATGCCATCGTCACGGGCCCCGCTCCTGGGACGTTCCACCATGGCCTCGGCCACAGTAAGTGCCTTGCCCGCACCACCCGCTGTGGGTACAGCAGGCTCCCTGCTGGCTACCTCTGCTGTGACTGCATGTTCTGCTGTCATGTATTGGCCTACCGTGTCATCTGGTGTGACCATAGGCAGCTCTCGTGGGAATATGCTGAGCCCTCCCCTGGGGGTCTCCACCCGGAGCCGGCCCGGTAGGTTCTCTGGGGCTCCCGACCGCCAGGCCGCCACGCCATGCCTGTCTTCACTGCGTGTGTTTGTTCTTCTCCCTCCTGTCTCCTCTCAGGTCTCCTGGCTGGCTTGCACTCCAGCCCACCCCATGCGGCGCCTCTCCCACACGCTGCCACGGCCACCCACGTCCCGCAGAGTCTGCCAGGTAATTGCCCGGTGGGCAGAGTGCCGCACACACTGTGCGCCATTCCCCTCTCCACCGTTAAGACGCCTTGTCTGCTGCCGAGAATCTCAGTCCCGTCGCCTCGTTGCCACTGTGTTGCCTTGGTCTGTCCTCCGAGGCTCAGGCTCTCGCTCTGCAGGTGCTCAGAGAGAGTGATGCAGGCTTCTGCTTTGAGATTTCCCCGCCCCCCACTCGGCACTGCCTGGGTCAGCCAGATCACAGGAAGTCTTGGCCTGCATTCCAGGCAGAGGAGCTCCCAAACCTTTGCTCAGCTTTTCCTGTTTAATTTAAAAAAAACAGGCAAGTGACATGCAAGTTCCCTAAGGACCGGTTGGGGCCCTTCATGGCCTTCCAGTCCCAGCTGCTGCCTGCGCTGGTGGCACCAGAAGCAGGATGCGAAGATGACAGCGCAGGGGGCACCCAAGTAGGGGCGAGGGTTGAGCCGTAAGGTTGCAGGCGGGACCTTTGCTGTCAGCCTGTGTCAGAGAGGAGCGCTTCCAGGCCGGCTCGGATGTGGGAGCAGCGCTCCCTTTCTTCTCTTCCTGCTCTCCAGGCAGCAGTGGCTTCAGAAGGGGCCCCGCAGAGGCCGTAGGCTCTCAGGTGTGAGAAGGGCGCAGGCGCCTGGGCTGGCACCCGAGCAGTGAGCAGGTCCCTTCGCCCTTCCTGGGCCCCGATTTGCAGGCCCACCTAGTGGAATGCTGGTGTGAGGCCTCGTGGGACCTTGGTCTCGGCTCTCTGCTCTCCTTGCTCCTCTGGACCTTCTCCAGAAATGACCAGGGGGCCCCCCTGGTCAGTGGAGAGCCGTTCTTCAGGAAGCTGAGTCTGGGTGGCCCTGGTGGGCTGGTGGTGGGAGGAAGTGTGCTGGGGAGCTGCTCTCCGGAGCGCCCGCGACCTGCCGCCTTGAGAGCGTTGGCCCCATGCTGCCCGGCTCCGCGTCTGCCTCCTGATTGGCTGGGGGTCCCTGGCCCTTGTGTCCTGAGGTGAAGGAATTCATAGGTAACGCCTGCAGCCATCTGGGTGCAACTGATTGTGAATTTCCAAGATGGAATTCTGCTTCTTCAGAGAAAGAAGCTGAGGGGCCCCATCTATATTGGCAGTCACCCCGTTTTCCTCCGGAGAAGCAGCAGACACAGCGGACCTGCTCCACACTTGGGGCCGCTGCTGTGGCTGAGAATATGGCGTAGGGGTCAGAGCACCGGGGTGCGGCTCGTGCTGCCTCGGCTGGCTTTTGGGGGTGTCACTCTTTCGAACAGCAACAGAGCCGAAGAGCCACCGGAAGCCGACTGTTGGTCTGGTATTTTCAGCAAAAAAAGGACAGTGCTTTCTTGTTCCATTTCTTTCCCGTTTATCCCCTGGGTATTGAAGGCTATCAGAAAAGCAGTGGCGCTAAGACAGGCTGTTCCAGTAGGCTTTTCCTCTCTCCTTTGGATGGTCTTCAGGTTCTAGGATCACACTGAGGGGTCGCAGCGAAAAGCTGTGCGCCCATTTCAGCCACGCCACCTGCTCTGCTCTGCCTCCTTTCCTATGTGGGGTCAGAGTGCTCGTGCCTTTGGGCCATGTCTTCACAGAACCTGGGGTCTTTAGTGTCAGGGACCAGAACACTCGTTGCTGCTTGAGTTCAGGCCTCCCCACGGAGCTGCAGCCTGCCAGCCGGGTGCCTGTGGGCCAAGCTGCGCAACAGTCGCCATTCTGTGAACTGAGCGCTCGGTGACCTGCAGGGCACAAGTGGGAACACGCTGGCCTCTGTTCCGTGTTTCCGGCTCGCCCGAGCCTCCACATGCTCAGCTTATGGGCTTTTGCTCTTTCCTGAGGGACCCCATTGAGTTTGCTGCTGTCGTAAGGGAATCAGAGACCCTGAAAGACTTGTGCTCTTTGTGCTTGTTCCTTTCAGACGCTCCTCAAAGTCACGGGAAAGGGCCCAGCGTACCACGGAAATTGTGACCTCTTCAGAGGAAGGCCCAACTCACTTGGGTCTGGGTGGAACCTGAACGAGTAGGTCTCAGAAATTGGATGACTCTGCTCTTCCTGCTGGTTGGCTTTCTTCTGGAGAAGGCGTGCGTGCTAAGTAGAACATCTCTTGGTACTTGTGATGTGCCTTCAGTGAGGGGCGCAGTCCCAGGCTTCGCGAGGCACTGACTGGCCTGGTACCCCAGACTTCTGCAGCTGTCGTGGACAACTGTCGGGGGCAGCTCTAGGCTGGGCAGCGTGCCGGGTTGTATACGAAGCTCTGGGGCAGAGCGGTTGGCATACCTGTGTCTGAAATCTGCCTGAGCCCTGGCATTTGGTCAGAGTACCTCACAGCGCCCTCCTGTCAGGGGCACCTTCTGACCACAGCGGGGTCCCCGGGTGGCCCCATTCTCAGGCAGGACAAAACCCAGGCCCACACACAGCTGGGGGATGTACCTTGTCTCCTTGAAAGAAAGAACAGCCGACATGTGCTCAGTGTGGGAGCCGGTTTCTCCACGGAACATGACCGTGAAGCTCCTTTAGAGATGAGACCTTTGTAGATTCAACAGCTGTGACAGGATTTTTAGACACTTACTTTGGGCTCAGTGATCATCATCGCCATTCAATGCATTGGATAGAATGGGACTGTTCTCCGCATGTCATATTGTAGGAAGACAGAATTCCAGTGCCTTTCCGGTGGAGCAGAATTAGACACATCCATTCAGTCCCTTGAGTGGATGTCAGTTGAAGACCTTTTTTAACGATACGTCTGTATTTTAAGACATCACCAGTTTGAGTTTTTACAGTTACACACAATCTGAGCTGTCCTGACTTGGAGGTCACTGGGCCTCCGGATCCCAGGTCCCAGTTCCGCCAGGGCCCCTATCTTGTTTTTCCAGAGCTCATACAGGTGGACTGCGGGCCCCAAAGCCCTTCATTTCTTTGTGGGCCGAGGACACGAGGGGCTGCGAGTCACAGACGTTCTGGTCTGTCTTACCCAGAACCCGTTCTCAGGCAGAGCTGCAGGAGCCAGCCTCTGTGAAGCGCCTGCCGTGTGGAAACGGGCCTTCAAGTCCCAGGCCCTCCAGGCAGCAGGGCTGTGCGTCAGCCTAAGGGCGAGATGCCTGGGGAAGGCATCAGAGAGACTGGGACAGCTGTCTGCAGCCCCCAGGTCACCGTGCTGCCCTCATCTGGCCAGTGGTTGCTTCACGAGGCTTTTGAGGGCACTCGCCTGTCCCGTGGAGTCCGCCACAGGCAGGTGTGAACTGACCGCCCCAGCTAAGTGATTCCAGAGGTGTTGAAAGTCAACAGCCTCCTCAGAATGTACCCCGCGTGGCAGCTCTTTTGGTCCCAACGTCCAGGGCACAGTGCTCAGTGACTCACAGGTCACGCACAAGTGTGCCCGGGGTCCTGACCTCTGCCAGCCCTCCCGCCAGGCCTCTGCTTTTTTTTCTTTTCCCTTCAAATGTAAGAACCAACATGAGTCACATTGGGCTAAATGGATTCTTTATCCCTTCATTACATCAATTTTTTTTTCAACTTGGGTTTCCAGTTTGTTTACAGAATAGTTGTAGGTGGTAGCGAAAGAGCCAAAGAAGAGATTTGTATTGCTGAGCCCAGAGCCTCAGAGGCCACCCGTGAGCACAGGTCGCGGGAACTCCAGGCTTCTCTGCCCGAGGACACGCGGGTCCCTCCCCGCTGCCATGCCCCCCGCCCCAGACCAGAGTGTGCAGCTGGAGCAAAACAGCCTCATTTTTAGGAATCTAGTGATGCCTCTTGCCTCAGGGAAACGTTTCTTTGATGGGGAGTTTGAGATTTCTTTTTGTTTATGCTTTATTTGTGGTGGAGGAAGAGTGAGTGGCTCTCCCAGCCGCAGCCGGCAGAGCGGCTCTGGGGCCGGGGGCTGCAGCGCTGTCCCCGGCACGGCCATTTCTTGGGTGTGAGAGGGGCTGTGGCTTTGGTGCAGCAGCTATGTTGGTATTAGGAGTGATGTGGAAATTGTTAATCTTGTATAAAGCAACTCAATAAATTGTTTCAAGGTTTCCAAATCATTGTTTCTCATTGTTTCCTTTTTTTACCATATTTGCAAATAATTCTTCCTCCTGTAGGAGTTGGTATATATGGAACATCCACTTTGGCTGAAAGCCAAGTGGGGGAACTAAGCTTCACATGCTAAAGAGGAAGAAACACACTGCCATGAAATTAGAATCAAGCCACCAGGTGTTTATTTTTGTGCTATCAATAGAGTTCCCTACTTCCCGTTTCCCTACATAATACATGAGACAGAGAAAACCTGAAATTCATCCGGCGAGAAGTCCACTGGGTAGTAAGTACACCTCAACAACGAGACAATGAGCGAGGCTTGCAAGGCCCTGACGCTGAGACTGACGGCAGCACTGTCCGCGGGGAAAGTCATTGCAGAGCCAGACACGCTGGCGATGGTGCCTTTTCCTGGACAGGCCGGCTGACAGGACACCTTCGCTCTGGCACCAAGGGCCAGACACTTGTGTTTTCTTTGCCCTCTTCTGGGGCAGGGCCCAGATCTGTCTCCCCAGAGGGCCTGGGGCAGGAGGTCAGCTCTCAGCCAGAATCCCGGAGGGGCCTAGTCCTCTGATGAAGGGGAAGGTGTGTGGTGGGTGTCTTTCTGCCCTGGAGCCCCCACCTGGGTGTGAAGGCTGCTGCCGTGGAGGGGGCTTGTCCGCCTTAGTCACCTGCGTTAGTGTGCCACACCAGGAGCCCATTGATGAGACCACTGCAGTCCACCGTAGGAACAGGAGGGAAAAGACGGGCAGGGTGGCTGCCACATCATTGGAGGAAAAGCAGGTCAGTCACCCAGGCTGAGTGACGGTCGGCCAGTGCCCGTCCTGCTGATTGGTGTGTGGGCTCTGAGCAGCCTGGCGGCGAGAGTGTGGGTAGCACGCTGGGCTCTGCATGGACCAGGAGCCCACCCAGGGCCAGGGAGGAGGGCACTGGGCAGGAGAGCCAGCTGTCTGCCTCCATGGAGGCAGAGGGCAGGGTGGTGGCTACTTCTGCCCAGACACCAGGACAGCCAGCTCCTGGATGGACATGTCCTTGTTGATGTAGCAGTCATACTGAGCCGGGGTCAGCCTTCCGGTCTGCAGGGCCTCTTCAATGGAGAACTTCTTGCCGGATTTCCGGTCGTGGATCACCGAGGACTCCCCGTTGGGACCCTTCACCGATATTTCCTCCCAGTCACACTCCTGGCTCCTGAGTTTCACAAACATGTTCCAGTCGATGAGACGGGCCCGGTGGGCCTCTTGCGGGGACAGCTCCCGGCCGGTGTCGGGGTCGATGACCACGATGGAGCGCCGCAGGTGGTTCTCCCTCTGCTCCCTCTTGACGGCCATGGAGCCCAGGCGCTTGTGCAGCTCGCCGATCTCCAGGTCCTTGTCCTTGGACAGCCTCTTGAGGGCGTCCAGCTCTTGCTCCAGGGACCAGAGCCGGGAGCCGAGGCCCCCCGCCGCGTCCCCCGAGGCCAAGTGTCGCAAGTCCTGGGTCTCCGTCGCTGCCATTTCAATCTCTGACTGGAGCCTTCGGGTCTCGAGCTGCAGGTTCTGCCGCTCCAGCTGCAGTTTGTGGTTCTCTTCCCTTAGGAAGTCCAGCTCCTTGGACGACTTGGAGTTGCGGAACTCCAGCTCCGACAGCCTGGCCTCCAGCCGGCTCACGTCGGCGTCCAGCTCCCGCTTGCCCCGGCTCTCCTCCTCCAGGCTGCTCTTGAGCTTCTGGATCTCCTGCTCCGCGTCGCCTTTCTCCACCTGGACGCTCTCGGAGAAGACCACCTTCTCCCTGACCTCCGCCTTCTCCAGGGCGGCGAGCTGCCTTCTCAGGGCCTCGAGCTCGCCGTGCAGGACCTGCCGCTGGTGCCGCTCCTCTCCCAGCTGCAGCTTGAGCAGGGCGTGCTCCCTGGCCTGCTGGGGGTCCTGCTGCAGCACCACCTTCTGCCTGAGGGTCACCTTCTCCCGGGCCTCCCCGTCCTCCTCCTCCAGCTCAGCCAGCCGCTGCTTCAGGCGCTGCACCTCCAGCTCGGCCTCCCTGCGCGCCTGCCGCTCCCGCTGCAGCTCCTCCAGCTGCTGCTCCAGCTCGGCCCGCCGGCGCTGCAGCCGCCGCAGCTCCCCGCGGAGGCGGTCGACCTGCCGGAGCTCCACGTCGATGCTCTCCGTGAAGGCGTCCACCTCGGCCCGCAGCCCGGGCTCCCCCTCGTACCTGACCACCTCCTGCTGGACCACCTTTTCCTTCACCTGGGCGAGCTCCTGCTCCTTCTGCCTGACCTTCTCCTCCTGGGAAGCCCTTTCCCTTTCCAGGTCCACCTGCTGCTTCTGCTCCTCGGACAGTCTGGCCCTCAAAGACTCTACTTCCTCTTTGGTTTGGGGGTCCTCCTGAAACTGGAGGATCTCCTGGACCACCTCCTTGGTCTGGACCTGGGGTTCGGTGTCTTTCAGGGACTGGATCTCTCGCTTCAGCTGGTAGATCTCGAGGCCACACCTTTCGATGAGCCGGGTCTTGTCCACGATCTCCTCCCTGAGCCTCCGAAGCTCCTCCTCCACCTCGGGGTCGGTCTGGTACTTGATGACTTCCTTGGTCACCTCCCTGACCTCCACCTGGGGGCCCCGCTGCCGCAGCGCCTCCAGCTCCCTCCGGTGGCTCTTCAGCTGCTCCTCGGCGCCCCGGTACTTGCGCTCCTGCTCCACGAGCTCCAGGCGCAGGTCTGCCACCTCCCGCTCGGCCTGCGGGTCGGGCCGGACGATCTCGCGCACTCTCTCCTGCACCAGCACTTTGGCGTTTTCCTCTTCCAAGGCCCAGATCTTGCGGAGCAGCTCAGTCTTCTCCCTTTGCTTGGCGCGAGCCCTGGCGGCCTCGTCCTCATACTGGCGCTTGAGGTCGCCGGCCTGCCTCTCCACGGCCACATCCTTTTCCACCTTGAGCACCTCCTTGACTGCGATCCTCCCCTCAGCCATCGCCCGCTCCTTCTCCAGCCTCTTGAGCTTGTCCTGGAGGAAGCTCAGCTCCTCCTCCTGCTTCTCCCGGAGCCTGGCCTCCCGCTCCTGGCCCTCCTGCGCCCGCCGGTGCTCCGCCTCCAGCTGCGGGTCATTCTGCAGCCTCACCACCTCCTTCTCGGTGACCCTCTCCTGCGCCCGGTTCTTCTCCCGGGCCAGGGCGGCGATGCGCTGCTGCAGGAGGGCCGCCTCTGCCTCCCGGGTGCCCTTCTGCCGCCGCAGCTCCTCCAGCTCCCCCCTCAGCCTCAGGGCCTCGTCCGCCTGGGCTCTGTCCGGCTCGATGCGCAGCACCTCCTTGACCACGAACTCCTGCCCCCCGCCCGCAGCCTCCTGCTCCAGGGCGCGCAGCCGCTGCCGCAGCGCCTGCAGCTCCTCCCGCAGCAGCTGGTTCTTGTGCTGCTCGTCCGCCAGAGTCCGCTGCATCTGCTGGAAGCTCTCCTGCAGCCCGGGCTCCGGCACCTTCTTCAGCACCTCCTTCCTCACCACCAATTCCTGGGGGCTCTGATTCTGCAGAACCTGGACCTCCTCCCGGACACTCTGGACCTCCTCCTCCAGCTGCCGCCTCCGTTCGGTCTCCTCATCCAGCTCCTTCTGGACTCTCCACGTCTCCTCCCCTCCCGAGCCCGGCTGGCTCCCTTGCCGGGTCTCATGGGTCACGCCTGCCTCTGGCTGCTGGGGGAGAAGACAGTGCATGGTTAAAGCCAGACTCTCCGCACAGCCTGTCCCCACCTGGTCGGAGTGCACCCGGGTCACCTGCAAACAGGTCGGACTGGTTGTCCTGGGATCCCCAAGGACTCCCTTAGCGTCAGGCTCACTAGAGTTCCAGGGGTTCTTTT